AGACCAAAAAACTCTCATATGGCTTCTCAAGTGTCTCATAAACACCATCTCTGTTGCTGCAGCTATCCAGTTAATCCACCGTCAGCTCAGCTTGAGTAATCAGGCGTACCACATTTTGGTCATCCCTTGACTAACCCCGAGCCAAAGGGATCCTGGAAGGTGGCTGGTATGGCCCATATCTAAAAGTCTTCTGTCTTTCCTTCATTCATGGGGTGAGGATGCCTACAGGAGGCCAGTGCATCCTATTCCCATGGTTCAGTAGGGCACATGCTCTCCTGGCACGTGCTCTGCAACTGGGGTGGAAAGCCAAGAGAGCCACCTCGAGTCCCTAGGTGAGGTTCTTGGGTGCCAGAAGGACACACGAAGGACATGTGCAGCTCCTCACAGACAAGCAGAGGGGTGCAGAGAGCAGAGCCGACTCCCGGCTCTGCTACCTCCACAGTAGGACAGACTGGTGATGTTTAAACAAGCCCTCTTCCCTCCGCAGCAAATATCAGTTCCTTCAAACCAACAGTGTTTGTTGACGGCCTGCTTTGCTCAGTCTCTAGAGCTGGAAAAGACTTCTGGGGGAGAAGGAAATCACAGATGCCCAAATGTTTCATTTTAATTAAAAAAAAAAAAAAAAGTAATGCTTCACTTCAGAATGACTTTTTACTTCGAAATTTTAAGCAATTTACTAAAACCTGAAGTAAAATCCCCAAATAAAACTTCTGGTGTCTAAATGAATCATTCTCCAATTCCTAAATGGTATCAGCCCCTTCTAAAACTGCTTTCAAGAACATTTCTTATTAAAAAACATAACTGGCCCACTACAAGCCGGAAAAAAAAAAGTTTTGAAACATCACAACTCCTCCCAGAAAATGGGACTATTTACCTCTGTGATTGCGACTTATGACCTGCCAGCCAAGGATTCCCTGTAACAGCGAGGGCAGATGCCAGAAGCAGGAGGAGGCTGGTGCCGAGGGACTGCATCCTCGCTTACGGACAGCTTGTGCATGTTCGACTATTCACCTCAAAATTAGACAGAGGCTACATGAGGATGAAATGAGGCAGCACAGCTAAAATCTAGGAGCAGCAGCTAACATAACAGAGCCTGGGACAGGTCCCTTCTGCACCCAGCAAGTCAGCATATTTCCCCTTGATGAAGTGTTGCCTCTCCCTATAGGGATGATGCTGGTTTTCTGCCCCAAATATCCATTCTGCTGGCAGATGGGGTGTTAAGCACAACCCAGAGACACTGTGCAGGGCTGAAAACTTGCACGATCACCATGTGCACATGGATCAGTGCTTGTGCACGTCTGCTCTGGAGCTGATGCGGGGCCAGGCGGGGATAGTGAGGGCTCATTCAGCTGCAGAAGGGTTTATCCCTTCTCTGGGGGAAAAAAGCCTCAGCTATCTCTGCCCCTCTGCATGGGAAGGGGAAAGGAGGTAGAGGAGGGTCATTGTTTGGATATGGATGGAGACAGAAGAATCTTGCCGGGGGGGTTTAGAGGGGTTGTCAGCTATTGCACGGCATCTTTGGACGCTGCTGCATCTGACATAGGAAGAAGCTGCAATTCATTTCAGGCTTGGAGAAAACTTTGCTCTGCTCTCATCCCTCTCTGCAGCCCCCCGTTCTGGTTGATGACATTGCTTCGACCTTCCGACCAGGCACCAAGTGCCTCCGTGCCAGCTATTAGCTTTTCAGCCTGGTTCCTCCCCCCTACTCCCACCCCGGCCCCTCTCCCTCCCCTGGAGACCCATGCAGCAACCGAGCGCCACATTTTCAATTTACACCAACTAAATGATTCATCGCCGCCTAAAGAGGCCTGAACAGAGCCCAGGAGGGGAGCAGAGCTACAGCAGGGAAAGGGGGGGGGGGACAAGATCGGGGCTAAAGATACAGAGATGAAAAGCTCCAGTGACCTGCTCTATATCAGCTCTCCTCTCTTCGGGGCAGAAACCAATCAATCCTTCCCCCCCTCCTTTCTCCTGCAGCCGTCTGTGGGTCTGTCTGTCTCATTCTCTCTCAGCGGACTCGAGTTTCTCGGTGTAAGGTTAGGACAGCAGAGCTGTGGAAATCGATTCCTGAGCCCTGGCACACCGCCCTCCACGCAGACAGCCCAGCTCCGCCGTGAGACGATGGATGGAGAGCTGTCCCCAGGCATCCCCAGACCTCTTACGTGGTGGGAGCGGATAGCTTCGAAATGGGGGTCTGGGGAAAAGGGTCAGCGTCAGCCCTTGAAGTGCAAATCCCAAAATAAGAGAGAGACGCATGGGAGAGACAAAAAAGATAGATGCTGTACCCCATCTGGCAGTTTTCACCTGTCTCCCAGTCTACCACTGTTCCTCTTGATGGTTTATACTGGAGGAGGAAGATGAGCGAAAGGCATGGCTTTGCCCACAGGCAATCTGGTTTCCAGTACCACCCTACCCCAGATCCTGCACAGCCTAACTGCTTCCTCCATCCCTTCCACAAAACAGCTCCCACATCGGCATGGCTGGATTCAGCCGTGCACTGGAAAGCCCCTGGGATTCCTGACTGGGAGGGAAGAGAGAAGGGTTAGCACTTCACGAGGGGAAATGCTTATGGCACATTTCCCCAGAGGTCCTTGTGCAGCAGTCGTTGATGATGCATCCCACTTGAGGAAAGGTCTATTAATGAATCTTAAGGGGTTCAATGTGCACAAAGTTCTAATAAGAGACTTAGTATCATGGCACTCTTACCCTGAATATCCTGCACAGCCAAACCTTGTTGAATGGGATGTAATTGGCTCCTCTGCTCTCAGGGCTACCTAAAAGGATGAGGAAACTGAGACCCAGAGAGGAAAATCTGAGGCTGCACTGAAAACCCCTTCCAAACCTGGACTGGAAATCAGATTTCTTGACTGCAGTGGAAACTAGGGGGAAGGAACATACTGGAGTGGGATTTGGTAACATTTGCCTTCCAACTGCTTCAAAAAAATCCACAGGGAATTAATCTCAGTGACCCTGCTGCAAGGTACATAAATAAGAGGTGCCTCTCTTTTCCAGATAAGGAAACAGAGGTTAAGTGACCAGACGGAGGAGGGCATGGGGATCCTGCCATCAAGCAGGTCCAGACTGTGAGGCCAAACTTCTCCTTGAAGGACCGAGTCTGTACAGGAGTTTCTTGTTCTGAGTCGATGCTACCAACCTCACTCATCACCAGCCATCACATTTCTGACACCCCTTCACAATAAGCTGCTGGGCAATCTGCAGTTGTCTCTGCCCCTTTTCTCTCCTTTGGGGGATTTATTGCTGGATGTATTGATTGCTTGTTGCCACTGACCCTGGATGGTAGGAGATGAATTATCTAGCATTGCTGTGATACAATCAATGGCCAAACTCATGCTTTTCTATACCGCCTGCACATAGTCTGTGCTGTCCCTCCATTGACAGCAGAACACTCACTGCTCTGTAGGATGGTTGCAGGATAAGATGAGATGGAAACATATTATAGAGCTGTATATCAATTGGAAATATCCTCAGGTCAGCAGGATGAAAGTTTCACGGGTTCGTGCCTACCAGACCGCAACTCAGGACTGGTTTGCCAAGGATCCCTTGAATGATTCCAGAGCCTGAGTCAAGTTTTTGGACAAGTTTTGGGATGGATCACCTAGATCTGATCTGAAATTAAGCAGACTGTCATGGCTTTGGATGAGGTTCACAGAAGCTAAGGAGCATCCACAGAAGGTTGGAATATGGTACAGGTTTGTTCCCTTTTCTTCTGCTCCAGAAAGAAGAGGATCGCTTCAGCTGGATCACTGTCTCCACCAGGAGAGTTTGCAATGCAACAGGAAGAATTCAGAGGTGAACTCGGTGGGAGAAGACAGACACACTGCAATAGCAGGGTCCATCAGAAAAACCCTCCATCGCTGCCAAGGGCACTAGAAACTTGGAGTGACAGCACCCTGCAGAGCCACGCTCAGCTAGAGACATTTAGTTAGACAGATCCAATGCACTTTCCAGCCTCTGTCTCTGCTGAGAGGTTCTTGGCAAAGGAGACCACCCTGCCACTCATAGCCAGGAACTCAGCCAACCTGACACCTCCCTCTCCACAGCTTTGGCAGTGGGTTCCCCGCAGGAGATCACTGTCAGTGAAGGCTGCAGAGAGGAAACTTCAAGATCAATAGCATCATTAAAAAGCCTACAGAAAACAAAGCCGATGAACTAATCTCCCAGTCCTGAGGACATCTGGATCCAGTGCTCCTTGCGAGGCACTGGATAAGCCAATACTGTAGAATAATGAAATGGTGGAATGAGATCCCTTCTTGGCCTGTTATACAGAAGCCCAGGAATGTGGATATAGACAAATTTGCTCAACATCCTGGCCAGATAAGCCAAATGAGGAGTTGGCTCATTTGTGCTCATTTGGCACAGTTGAGTTGACCCACACAGGACAAACACTCAACTTCAGGGTCAACATTTTCCCACAGTGAGCGTACAAACCATAAGGTCTCCTTGAAATCTAACTTGGGGTGGACCCCATGATGCTTACAGGGACCTGATCCCTCTCTAAGGGCAATGGAGATCATGGCAAGTCTGAAAGAGGAGAGGTTTAGGTCAGCAGTGGAAAGTTGGAGGTGCTGAGACAAGTGTGTGAGCCAGGTTGCTAGTCAGAGCCAAACTGCCTTAAGCAATGGAAACAAGAAGGTAACTGTCACCCAGAGAAGAGCTGCTGGTGGGTTTGATTCAAAGCACATCAGGGTGGACAGGTGCTTTCCTGGTGCAGTCAGCAGGCTGTGGTTGAGGAGATCTGACCAGTCTCTACCACCCTTCTCTTCCCTTGTCTTCCAAAAAATGCTTCTGTTAAACAAAGTCTCCCCCAGCAAGTCCCAGAGACCTTGCTGGAGGTACCGGGTGACTCATTGGCTCACCTAGTTCAGCCAGGGACTGAGACAGCATTTTGCATCTCTGCCATGTGTCATCACAGCCATTGAGGGAAGATGGTTGGCAGAACAGCGGGGCTGGGATGGTGGCAAACACCAGCAGGTACTTACGTGTTGTGAAGAACACACCATCCACAGTGAGGGTCGCCTGAGCCCAAGCACTCGCTGCAGGTCTCGTACTGGCTACACGACTCCACGGGCACCCGAGTGAGCTGCAGGAGGAAAGGGGACAACCTGTCAGGCTTTTCACAGGGCTCCGTAATGCCCATAACGACTTGATGGAGGTGCCACCCTCCCTGTCCTCTTCCCCTGGTGCCTGTCCTCCCGGAGGGACATCCCCGTAGAGCTCGGCAGGCCTGGGGCAGAGGGATGTGGCTGCAGATTGCTCGAGTTCAACCTGGTGCAACCCCTGTCCAGATCAGCAGTCAACTTGGTGCAACCCCTGTTGAGACCAGCACGTCCCCTGTGACCTTGCCCTCTTCCCCATGGCCTTTCACACTTCCGTGCCAGATGACCTCACTTGCGGAGCTTCATTGCCAGTCGTCCTCATTTGCAGTTTCACAGGGAATCAGCAAATCAGGCAGGCTGCGTGCAGACCTGGCACCTTGAGACAATTAAACAACGTGTGATCTTCTGCAGCAAGTTAAACTCACTGGATCTCAATGCTCTCCTACACTCTGGTTGTGGACCTTGTTGCTTTCTGGCTTCCTGTGAGAACTGAGGTCTCGTGATCTCTCTGTTTCTCTCCCATGACCTCCCACACCACCACCGGTCCCAGGAGAGTCTTAGCTCCACTCCCCATTGCCCAGGCACCTTTCCAACCATCAGTGTCCCATCCCTGGAGAGGTTGTTGCCACCAGGAGAAGGACAAAGGCTACCAGCCTGGGTATCGAACGAGCTTGCTGTTGCCCTGACTCTGCAGCTCAGAAGGCATTAGAGGTGGACCTGAAACACCCATCTGCTGCCAAAATACTGCATGTTATTATCTTTTTTTTCTTTCTTCCTTTTTAATTAAAGTATTTCACTCAGAGATTTCAAAGACAGAAGGGACTGCCTAGCCTGACCTCCTCCTGTCTAATGGACTGGAGCCTTTTGATTCCTATTAGGTTTTGTAAGCCCCTTACTTCTTTTGAAGCCAAACGCACAATTTGGGCCAAATGACCTGATAGTCTCTTTTCCATTGAATAAGCTTCAGAGAGCTTCTATAATGTACAGTCAATTGCCAGTGCCTTCACCCCAGCTCATGTCAGCAGGGAGAATTTATTCCTTCAGATGATATAGCGTGGTATTATCCTGATGAAACACCACCGAGAACTACCAACTATAAACAGCAGAACAGTTACTCGTGACAAATTACAAAGGAATACACCTGGATCCTAGTGACAATTTTTTACTTGGTGCAACATTCTAGAGAGTTTGAGCTGTGAAGTGACAGATTAAGATTCATTCTGATTGCAACTGTAAATGAAACAAGAACTGGCTTTTATATATAAATATATATCAGGCAAAATTCCAGCTATTTATGAAGACCTTTTCTGTTTGTATCAGAAATTGTCTTCCTAACCCCTATACAGACACCCCACATGGTAGTTGATAGTTTATGAGCAAAAGCTGAAAATCTGTATTTTTACCTCTGGCAAGTGGCAGCAGCTTTAGAAAACTTCAGATAAAAATATGGTGGGATTTATTTACCATTGCACCATTGCCTGTGTCAAGTCACCCAAAGAAACCAACTGCTGCTCCTGAAAGCTTTTAATGAAAAAGGAAGAATGTGGGAAAAAAAAAAATGCCAACCTTTCTCAAATTTAATCTATTGCCATGAGCATAAGAACATAATCAGGACAGATCACTGAGCAACGAAAATGGGAAGATCAAAACAGGGAGCGAGTCATTGAAACTTCTGTACATATCAAGAACTTTCAAAGGTAAGATGGCTTGGACATGAATGCAATTGTTCCACCTTCCTTAAGCTTCAGGTCAAGAAGGTATCAACTGTTCATCAATTATAAGTTGTATGCTCTAGGATTTCACCCAATTAGACTTATGTTGAACCCAATAGTCTGTGTTGCATCCAACTTCCAAAAAGACATACAATTTTTTACAAGAAGACATCAAAAGTTGGAGACCCTATAATTTCTTCTGTCAGCCATTCCCGCCTGTTATTTCCACCTGAGAAAAATACGTTGCGAATTATTTTTCCTTGATCACATCTAGCTTGACCATGTCTGCGCTGTGAACATCAGAGTACTTGCAGAAGAGGCAGATAATTCAGTTTTGAAAGACTGTAAATCTGCCATTCCCCAACCCAGATGCAATCGATTATGTAACGTCCACCTTGTAATTAGAAATTTGTGAACACAGTTGGGATTGGCTATGCAGTTCCTATCCAAACTACCCTCAGTTTAACATATGGTGCTGCTCAATTTATCCTCATTAGCTGTAGATAGTTTCTGTGAACCTCAGTTTCTGAGGTAGTTTACATCTGTCTTATAAAATGAGCCTTGTCTAAGAAGTTTAGATCTGAACATGCATTCTTCCAACATCTAGTGATGTTGGGTTTGAATGATGTAAGTCAAAATCCACTTGTGACTATGATATATGTACAAGAAAGAAGTCCTGGAGGACTGAAACTTGCTATTTCTTTGCAAATTTCTACAGAAAGAGTAGACAAAAAGTGGTCTCTGTAGGTATTACTATTATTATTATTTAATTAGCTGTCAAAGGATATCCAAGCTCCTTTCAGAGGCCGGAGGAACCTCCTGGGAATCCAGATCTTCATCTTTGCAGAAATGTTTCCTTTTCAGTATGTTTAGGGTACTCGGTCTCTATAGGATACAGTTTGTATGTTGTGTAGGAGCACACCTAGCTTGTGTCACTGTCCCAGAGCACAGCTATGTGGTATGAGCTTGCACCAAGCTACATCCCACCTCCTGTCAAGCACACCAGAATAGTAGGTGCCCTGTGTCACCATTTGCATTGCTATGTGTTATTCCTGCTATATGAGACCTTTTGTGAGTTCACCTCAAGTAGCATTATTGTGAGATTAATTAAAATTATACCATGCTGATAAATGTCTTGGGCTGCAAGTGTCAGACCTTCTAATTAATAAAGAAAGAAACTACAAAAAACAAAGGAGCTGAGACTGAAAGGAAAGCCACCTAGGGGTCATCAGCTGAAAAGAAAGAGAACATCAAGCAAATAAGGCACATCAGAGGTCTTATTTTCCTTTGGAACATAAACTGTAATTAATTCAGCTCAGCAACTCAGTTGAAAGTTTTGAGAACTGACCGTGCCTCCTGGGAGCAGTCAGCTTTTTATGCTGCCCCTAAAATATCTGAAAAAGAAAAGTCCATGCAGCCTCCCAATTACAGTGCCTTGCCATTATTCACTGTGATGAAGGGACTAGGCAGCGCTGAAGGTTGAAATCTCCATTGTAAACCAGACTGTGATTACTCCTTCCACCCCTTCTCCATCCTTGGAAAGTCTAACAAATTTTTCAAGGTCATTTCCCAACCTCTGTGAGGCTCCCTACCTCTGGTTCTCATTGGGGTGGAACTTGGATTCAATATTCTGCAGCAAATATAACCAGGGTCTCAGGTTATATGCAGACAGAGGATTAACAAAGCAACGTGTCCTTCATTTTGGGGCACCATGAGCCAGGTTTGAGTCATTTATATTCCTGCAGTGGTCGCGGCTTAACCGATATTTTTGGCCTCACTGTGCTACAGCAATATATGGATGTAAGAAAAGAGTGCTGTTGTTCTAAGGGCTTATATCCCATGTGTGATGAAGCACATATCCCCATTTTATCAATGAGAGCTGAAGCTGAAAGTGAGATCTCATGCAGCTGAAGTAGGTGCTATCTAAATGTCTTTGGAGATGTGGGCTTAAGGCATCTGAGCAAATTCACACAAGAAGTCCAGGAAAGACCTGATTACTGAACACTAAGTTATTAAGTACAATATATTTAGACTTTGGCTTCAATGAAATATCAAAGAAATGAAGGTAAGGTTCCTACAGATCCCTGTCCCCACACCTGATGGACGTCTAAGAGCTGCTGTGCTTCCAAGGCTCTGCCCATAGCAGAGCAGAGGGACAGATGATCCCTGATCATCCCTGAGGTAAGCAGCATTTCCAGAGCAGCCAGACTAACACAGGATTTCCAAAATCACTGCAGTGCAGTGGAGGGTGCGAAAGACCCAGGAACCTCCCCGCTAGCACCTTGCTCGAACAGGGGAGACCAAAGGGTCAGGACCGATATCCCTCGGGCAGCTTCAGCCTCTAGACTGTCCCCTACTCACAGCTATCCCGAGGGAGATGCAATCCCAGAGCCAGGGTCGGACAAGTGGTAAGGGCATCTGATGTCCTGCTCAAGGGCAGCAAGAAAACCACGAGCAGGTCCAGCTGCCATAGCTGCAGCAGGATTTGAAAGGTCATTTCACTTTGTCAACACATTCATCCACCAATCCCCAAAGAAATCGTTCATCGAGTTTCTGGCTCACAAGGACGTCTTGGAAAATCTGGCAAAATCTGCAAACTGCTGTACGGTTCAGAGCTCACCTGCTACATACGACTTCAGGGCTTTTCACACAACACCTGGGCTGTCCTCACCTCTGATCCAGCCTAAATTCCAAACTGCAGCTTCTCTAGCTCCCAGCCTCACTTCCACCCTCTATTTCTAGTATGAATGAACTACAGAAAGTCATTTAAAACAAAATGATTGAGGTTTTTGGATCTTATAGACAGTAACAGCTAATCCTGTTAGAAATTTGGCTCCCGCTTCCGCCATTATACATTCACAAAAGCTCCTGCTATGTGCTCAGTCATAATTTTCTGGCTCCCATTTTTGACTTTTTTATTTCAATATACATTACTTTTTTTTCCCCTTAAACTGCCAACATTCTGGTCAAAATGTGAATCACTGCTCAATCTCTGCTGTTATAATTGGATGTTAATACAGCGGCGGGATTTATTCAGTCTGATGGACTAAGTTAATTTAAATGTACAAAAAGACATCATAAGTAGCCAATTTCCTCCCCAACAGTCAAAAGATACACTTCCAAAACACTGAACAGTGACTCTGTCAAGCCATGTGGGTTCTGTGAATGCGGCTATCTTTCAAGACTCAGCCAGCCCCGAGAAACTGCAAAAAGATTAAGAGGAGCTTATTTGATTTCAAAGCCTTGAATAGAGAGTTCATGATAATACAGTT